TTTTTATCAGTATGACGGTGGAGAAAGCGGTTCACCTCAACTGTTCCAACACTTGGTGGGGCATCCACATTTATCCGCACATCAGCAAACGAGCTTCCGTCTCTTGAGTAAGCTGTCAGTCTAATATTGTACTGCATCCCAGCTAGTAGACCAGTCCACGTAGGATATCTATAATATGAGAGACTAGCAATGAACAATCTAGCAAGAGAAAAACTCACAGCATTGGATTAGCGGGTGGTATAGTCAACGAAACGACAACTTGGTTTGATTGCGACAGTTGCGTTTGGGTAAAAGTTGAGTTTGGGTTTGGCAGAAATGACGAGAGTTCGAAGAAGCATGAAAGTAAGCTTACTTTGGTTTTACTTCTGTTAGTAAAAGTTTTCTTACTGGTATCCGGCGTCCGGATAACTTCCCATGTCGTGTTGAGCCATCCCTGCTGCACGGTCACATATGCTCGAATTCTGATTATACCAATCAGCGTGTCATTCTGGTTTCTTTGCCCTTTGTCTTACCTGACATAGTCATTTGGACTGAACCTGTCGGTAGCTATAGGCGAAAATTTGATTTGAGGAAGTCTTGGCTGACCTACTGTTACCATAGACCACGTCGCATCGCTCAAATTCTGCGCACGGACAGTATCCGTGAAGTTAAAACTGAATGTTTAGCGCTACTGCAAATGGTGTATATTTTCTCATAAACAGACCTCATTCCTAGATTTAGTATTCGGGGCGGTATGCGCAAGTAGGCGGCTCTTTTTTCTAACCCAGTAGGTAGCTCGCATCTGTAAAGCCACAGTTGTGTGAGCTACGTTTCTGGATATTACTCTTATTGTGTTGAAGAGTTCTGATTACCAGACTTGATTTTCACTGAACTAGTCTGAACAAACAAATGACCGAGAAAATGCGCTATTATAAGTACACTAGGGTTCCTGCAAAATGCTGCCGACACCAGGATTTGCACAAGAAATCAAACTTAATTATTCTGTGAAGTCTCGTTGAAGCAAGTCCATTCGTGAGTGACTGAGCCATCCTTCACGTTCGGATTTTTCGATTGCGACGCATCGAGGACGACAGCAGCATCACTGGCGATTGACCGTGATATGGCATCAACTGTAGTGACCAGCTTTTCTGCGACGTACTGAATAGCAGTAAGATTGGACACAATAAACAATGGAAGGTATCTGTCGCGTACCACTAATGTCTCCTCAGTTGTTGCGCTGAGATGTTGACTGCTCGAAGGATCTTTATAGTTCACCTCAACTCTGACTTCCACAGAATCTCCTGCTTCGTAGGTGAAGGCCGGGATACGGTAGCTATCATCGTTCGTCACGAAAATGTGATCCAAAAACCAGTTGTACTAAAACTCGCTTTTACATGTATTCGTTGTACAGGTACTGGCTGTTCCACCTGAGCATCATTTGGGACTACTGTAAGCGAGGAATTGCAGCGTGTAAGTTCTGGAAGTGCTCGAAGACGCACAGCCATTGAGGGCGTCAGAGTGCGCAGTCCCAAACTACCGCCGAGGGAGAGTGACAGCGTCGCCGCTGCTGTTACGGGCTGCAGAAGGACGTCCTCGCTAGTCGTGCACTCATTCACAAAGTTGCAAGCAGTGACAGCGACTGCGGCTTCGGAGGTTAGCTGAAGTGGGCATGTTTGTTCTTTAGGTGCTGGCTGTTAAATATCCAGCTGGCTGTAATGTTCAGCTGATACCTCTTAAAACATCACATGAGGAGCAAAGTAAACTTGGAAGACATCACATAAATTCTTATCTAAGAAAGAAGGGCGACCTACCAGTTTCGATGGAAACGACAGCGTTCGACCAGACTCTTTTGCCAAGAGAGCTGACATTTGTGACGTTACTACAATCCTCAAAATCATGTCAACCAGAAATGTTTTGATGCATACCGTTCTTCATTTGCCATTGATAGCTCAAAGCACGTCTACCATTACCAGTAATTTGTTTCACTTCTACGATGACAGTTTGCATGCACATCATCACTTTGGAAGGTGCAAAAATAGTGAAGTTAGGGTGGACCTGAAAGCT